TATCTGTATCTGTATCTGTATCTGTATCTGTATCTGTATCTGTATCTGTATATTTGCAATTGTATCTATATGCCTATTATTTATGTATTTCCATCTCTAATGCCCGTCCTTGCCCTGATGCTGAATCAATAGTTGCCGAAATGTCGAGACTTGGGCATACATAATCGAAATTCAGGTACATACACATACACATTCATCGATTGATGTGTGTGCGTGCGTTGGCCATGTGTGTATTAAATGCGTATACGACGTGTTGACTCAAACAATTCACACCGTTTCGCAGGCACTTTCGATGATCATTTCGAAGCTTATGGATGATGAGTATTTACAAAAACTTACGACATGCCGCGACTGGCTCATACGATGCTCAAGCCCCTCAATGAACATACCCTAATGACGTTCCCAGTTAATTAGATTTTATACATATATATATACTTATACATACCTGTGCACATGAATATCCGAGAGATATGTATCTAAATGCAATTAAACTGAAGTGCGCTCGAGGTCCAATTGGCACGGGCGGCTTAAGCAAATATATTTTACGCACTTGATTAAATTGCCTAAATGGTAAACAAATTATGAAGAGTCGCCACTTGCTTAACTAAACACACACACACACGCTTTACCCAGTCTCTATCTCGCTCTCACTCTGCCTCTCTTTCGCTCTCTCGTTGCATGTGTAGCTGGAGCGTGCTACCAGATCGGAGCTGTACAGCGCTCTGGCCCTGCTGGTGCTCTCGCTGAGCATTTACACCTTCTACACACAGCTGCAAACGTATCTGAGGTCCGTGCTGCTGTCCCTGCGTCTCTCTGGACCGCCGACGCTGCCCTTTCTGGGTAACTGTATGCTGATCAATGAGAAGGATCGTAAGTGCTGCAAATACATTTCAAATTATATTACGTATACGCCATGTCTGTCATCCTCTGCAGTTATGCGAAAACGCGCCGCGAACGCCTTCGATCTGTATGGCTCGCTGGTGCGCATTTGGGTGCTGCTGTTTCCGTTCTTTGTGGTGCTGCAGCCCGAGGATCTGCAGGTCATACTCTCCTCCAAGAAGCACACCAACAAGGTGTTCATCTACAGGCTGATGCACAACTTTCTGGGCAACGGTCTGATCACCAGCAGCGGCGACAAGTGGAGTACCCATCGCAAGCTCATACAGCCCGCATTTCATCTCAGCCTGCTGGAGAAGTTCATTGACACGTTTGTGGATGCATCGCAGTCGCTGAACGAGCATCTGGATGCCTCGGCTCTGGACATGGAAGTGAACATAGCCAAATATGTCAACAACTGTGTGATCGATGTGCTAAATGGTAAATCCCACTTCAGGCTATTCCAATCTAAATACCAATACTCACTCGCTCTCTCTTTCTCTTGCATGTCTTGCAGAGGCTGTGCTTGGCGTGCCCATCAAGAAGAAGGGCCTCATGGAGGATTCGCCGTTTCGCAAGGGCAAGCTGATGATTCGCGCACGCTTCTTGCATCCCTGGCTGCTACTGGACGCCATCTATCAGCTGACATCGCTGGCCAACGATGAGCTGAAGCAGAAGAAGCGTCTGAACGATTTTACGCGTCAGATGATTAAGAGACGTCGTGAGATAATGGCCGATGCGGCCAACAACAATGTGGAGCGCAAATGCTTCCTGGACTACATGATTGAAATCTCCGAGAACAATCCGGACTTTAGTGAGGAGGACATTGTCAATGAGGCGTGCACCTTTATGCTGGCTGGCCAGGATTCGGTTGGCGCTGCTGTCGCCTTCACCATCTTTCTGCTCGCCCAGAATACGGATTCGCAGGCGCAGTGCTATGAGGAGCTGGAGCGCATCTTTGACCATACCGATCGTGCGCTTACAATGAGTGATTTGCGCGAGATGCGCTACTTGGAGATGTGCATCAAGGAGGCACTGCGTCTCTATCCCAGCGTGCCGCTCATCGCCCGCAAGCTGGGCGAGGAAGTGCGCTTGGCCGACTACACCTTGCCGGCGGGCAGCAACATCTTCATTTGCCCATATGCCACACACCGACTGGCGCATATCTATCCCGAGCCGGAGAAGTTCCAGCCGGAGCGTTTCAGCACAGAGAACATGGAGCAGCGGCATCCATACGCCTTTATACCGTTCAGCGCTGGACCGCGCTACTGCATTGGCAATCGGTTTGCCATCATGGAAATCAAGACAATTGTATCCCGTCTACTGCGCAGCTACCAGATCCTGCCCGTGCCAGGCAAGACCACCTTCGAGGCCACATTCCGCATCACTCTGCGCGCCTCGGGCGGTCTGTGGGTGCGGCTGCGGCCACGCCAGCAGCAGCAGGAGACGATATAGTGGGAAAGCAATAGGAGTCGATTAGTGTAGGTAACGAGACGAAGCCAATTGGTCAAAAATCTATCTGGAGTAGCGATGTGAGAAGTGGGTCTACGTCTTCGTTGGTTCCTTTTCGCGTAGCTTTACTCAGCGACTACATTCGAGAAGTTTGAGGCGACTCAAGTGAAGTTTAAGTAGAGCTCAAGCAAGGCAACGCTTCTTTTAGTTAGTATTTGTCTGGATTGGGCTAAGTAAGACTTGAGTAGAGTCCAGGCAAAGTAGATAGATGTAAAGTTCCTTCTTTATGCTTCTTCCTCTAAACTCAGCTTTAATGCTTTACCGATATGACAGCAGTTACACTACATGTGAGAAGTGTGCAGCGAGAAACTTGCAAGAGAGTAGTAAAGTCAAAGAGAGCAGCCTCAGCTTTATAACTTTTCTAACTATATAGTAATCCGAGTTGAGCGAGAATCAAGTATGCGAATATTATTCCTAAGCTTGCCTCATGTTTGCCTTTACCCAAATTTAAATTTAAACCTTCTCACTTTAAATTTAGATTGAGCTAACTGTAACTTACTTTAGCTAGTCGCAGCACAAACTTCTCGTTTGTAGCCAAGAACCCCTTAAATAATTGGTTGGGTCTACGGTATGGATGCTTGCCCAATAATTTTGACAGCGTTTGGCTTCGTTACATTAACTTTAATTAGTATGGTAAATAGATGTATGTATATAAATCGATACAATAATTTAAATATTTAGCCTTTGTCTAGCCTAAGTGCAGTGCGGTGTGCCTGTGCCTGTGCCTAAAAATGTTTTGGGTGCCATTTTGGATTCGGATTTGGATTACAATTAGTTCGCAATTGCAACTATATATATACATGTATATATATATATAGATATATAAATATACATATGTATATTCGAGTGTTTTTTCGTACAGATTTTCCTTGGGTTTGTTTTTACACAATAGATAAAAAAAAAAGAAACAATAATAATAAAGTGAAATAAGTAAATCAGAGTCATTAAACAGCTAGGACGTGATATGTTTCGTTTCGTTGAATCTATTGATGAGACGACGCGCACGTGATTCGTGCCCCTGTCCGTGCTCGTGTCCATGCCCGAGACCATGACCGTTCCCATTTCCATTTCCATTACCATTTCCACCTCCATTTCCATAGCCATGCCCATGCCCCTTGCCATTCGCCGCCTGTCGCTGTGCGCTGGCCACCGTGTGCTGTTGGGCAAGACGCTCCGTCGTCTCACGTACTCGACTGCTCAGCCGCGTTGGCGTTGCTGAACGCTGTGGCAGCGGGGAGCTGGGCATGGACTGGGCTTGTGTTGGCTTCGCTTTAATGGCGACAGCGGGCCTGCTCGTTGGCTCAGCTATACACAAAGGGACAGAGTGAGAAAGAGAGAGAAAGTGAGTATAGGGTATTATATAAGTCGTAAGCATGCTATATGCAATATGTGTTACGTTTGCTGATGCGACCCATGCTCGCGACCTTGGCGATTTTGTTGGGCTCGATGGCAGGCTTTTTATGTGCAGCAGCAGCAGCAGCGGAAGCGGCAGCGGCATTCGATTGCTGAAACTTGTGCTTTAGCTGGGACACCTTCAGCTTGGGCTCGCAAATGGGTTTGACATGCGGCTTGAGCTTTTCACGTGTGCAGCTATCCTCGAGCGACTTCTTGCGCATCTTAACCGTATTGGTGAAATCGGAGAGCATTATGGGCTCACTCTTGACGGACAGGTCCAACGATGGCATCGCACTGGCCGCATTATCTGCCGTCTCGCTCTGGCTGGCCTTGGCAATCTGCTCCAGCTTGCACTTGGCCAGCGTTAGCAGCAGCGTCTCCTGTGTGCCCAGGCTGCCATTGGAGCACTCGCTGTAGCCGGAATCGCTGCGCTCGCTGCACTGCGATTTGTCGCGCAGTTTGAGGCTCGTCGTCTTGCGCTTGTCCACATGCGGCATCTCGCCCGTAAAGTCATCCTCCTCCTCGTTCAAGGAGGCCATTTGCGTGCTGCACACATTGACGGCGCTCAACATGCTCAAGCCGGAAATCGAGGGGCGTGGACTATTGAGTGCGCCCATGGCAATGGCCGAATTGCGACGCGAGGCGGACAGCGTGGCCATGCGACCCAGCGCCCGTATAGCATTGCCCGTTTTCTAGTTGTGCAGCAAGCAGCAGCAAAGCATTAAAGCAGGACAGGATTCAAAAGGCAAAACAACAAAAGTGAAGCAACTGTTAGTTCGGAAGGGCCGTGAGCAGGCAAGCAGACGCCTCGACTCACCTGCCATTTGCGTCGTATAATGAATTTCTTGAGCTTGTCTGTGCAGATTTTGTTGTTGCTGAGATTCTCATCGTGGCGCTGGCACAGCCACTTGGACTCGAGACACTGCTGGGCAGTCAGGCGCGACTCCTTGCGATGCACTAGCAGCTGTGAGATAAAGTCCTTGGCCTCTTGTGAGCTGTAAGCAGATATTGCGTTTCATGAGAGAGATTCACATAGTTATGCATGGAGTGGAACTACGTACACGCAATCGAAGGCCTCGTCATCGTAGTCGTAGTCCGCACGTGTTATATTCGAAAAAGTCTCCACATCGGAGTCACCCATGAAGGGCGATAGGCCAGAGAGTCTGCAAAAGAAGTATTTGAGTTTGAGCTTAACTAAAGTGCAATTGATTTGCTTTCGGCACTCACAGCACATAGCATATGACGCCCACGCTCCACATGTCCGACTTGAAGTCAATGGGCTCGTAGCTTATGATCTCTGGCGGTATGAATTCCGGCGTGCCAAAGAGCACGCGCACTGGCGCCTTTGTGTCCAGACGCTGGGCCAGGCCAAAGTCTATGATCTTGATCTGGTGGCTGGTGCGCGTGTGGCACATGATATTCTCCGGCTTCAGATCCAAGTGGACGACGCTCTGGCTGTGCATGTAGGCAACGCCTTCGCACACCTGCCGCAGAAATAGAATGCAGTCCAGCTCGGTCAGCGTAAAGTCATCCGCAACCACGCGCTCAAACAGCTCTCCACCCGTAATGCTGTATAAATAAAAAAAACTCTTAAATCATGGGTTCATTTGGAAATAATTCCCCTCACTCACTATTCCATGACCATGACGATTTCGCGTGCACTCTCAAAGGAGGCGGCCAGCTGCAACAGCTTGGGATGCTGCAGCGAGCGCATGATGGATATCTCTTCCAGCACTTTCTGGCGATCGCGCGACTTGATGCACTTGATCACCTTGGCGGCCAGCAGCTGTTCGGGGTGGGCGCGTTCCTGCACCTTATAGACGACACCAAAGCGTCCCTTGCCCAGCTCCTCGATGATTTCGAAACGTGCCTTGAAATCGCCGCCCGACTGGACGCTCACCGCGCTCGTGGGATTTGTTGTGTTGCCAGCATCCAATGTGCTGGCTGGTCTTGTTGTCTGCACCCATTCACTGACCTGACTGGGTGCACTGCGTCCGTGTATGTTCTCGGCGCGCACGCGAAATCTGTACTGCAGCTGGGGCAGCAGCTCCTTGACGGTGTAGGCCAGCGTGTCCACAACACGCGCCACCTGCTGCCAGTCAGCGTTGTCCTTGACGCTATCACAGTCCGTGGGATTACAGCTCTGCATCTCGATGCTGAGAGGGGCATAAGAAAAGAAGTATAATATATAATAAATAATATATAAATAAATATCTAATCAGTTATACGGAAATCTCTATTTTATTATGTTTAGCAACTCGATTATTATCGATAATAAGGAATGAATTCCCTTTTTGCACTCACATAAATCCAGTTATCATGCAACCCCCATCGTAGGGCGGTCCACACCAGGCGACGGCCACACGATCGGGTCCAAGGGAGACGCTTGGCTTTCCGCTGGGCGGTTCCGGGGGTCCCTCGACGGCCACTGAGGCCGAGGCTGCCTCTATGCCATATTCGTTCATTATTTCGGCCGTGTACTTGCCGCTGTCATCGGCGGAGATGTCCGTTATATAAAGCGTTGATCGTTGCGACGTTGTACGGATTGTCACATTGGCGCCCTCAACAATGGCACGGCACTGTGTAAGGGTAAAAGGTATATTCAAGTATATATATATATATATTTAAACATGTATTTTTGTGTGTGTGTGTGCGTGTGTAAGTAAAGCGGATTAATAGTATTGCGGCGAGTAGACAGCAACTGCCCAACCTTCGATGAGCAGAGAAAACACGTTCAACTACGGCGACGCCTTGTTGTTATTGCTCTTTTGTGGTTTATAACAATTACGTATAGGCGCACTCATACCGCAAACTGATCGTGACACAGTCATAGACCCTAACTAGCACCAGCAGCACGGCATACCAAACGAGAACAGAACAGGCCAGACCAGACACGACACGGCACTAGATCAGAGACTAACACAGACAGCCGGCCAGTTAACGTGCCCAAATGAAGTATTTAGATAGCCAACAGAAGCAGCAACAGCAACAGCAACAGCAACTGGGTTGTCTCTATGGGGTGAGCTTATGTAGATAAAGTTGTGATATGGGATCATGGGCATAGCAAGTCGGCTAATCTTCAAGCTGTTGACGGCATATTACCTAATTAGGTCACATGTCAATTTATATTGCGCAACAATTGCAATGATCCCAAACGGCTTTTGGCCAACTGCCAAATTTGGTTATTCAAATTGAGCTAATGGGAAGAGTCTAGTAGAAGTTTGTTGGGGAAGATCTGTTGTGAGCATACTTTCAGTAGATTGTTAGGTAAGCTGATAGTCAAGCCTATTAGTTAAGTTTTTATTAGCTTTTTGAGTTCTATCACGAAACTCAGCTACGATTTCATTAGATCAATAAATACATATATATGTATATATATATGTATGAATCTGTCTGCTGATCGATATTTACTGTCAAGCAGTTATAGGCTTGACCTGTTTGTTGTCTGTCTGCTGCTATGTTAGCAATTTTTCTATTTTAAGAGTAATGCTTCTTGCTCTAATCACATATATACATACTTTTGCATATCATTATATTATAAGGCTTATTTTTTTGAAATGATACATATAAAATTATTATTCAATATATATATTTTATATTTTTATCTTATCTTAAAACGGATCATTAGCGTTTCATTATCCACAAACTTATATGCCTTATTAATTGAATGGTTATCAGAAGTCCTTTCGATCAACTATACTTTTCCTATATATATAATTCCTTCTCCTTACGCCTCATTAAAAAAACTTTATATTTGTTTACATATAAACAAAACTACAGTGAAACCTGGATATGACATCTCAGCTACGGTTATTGAGCTATAATATATTTACATCTTTCTAGAGTATATAATAAATAAATATATAGTTTATAGAGCCCATCCGCGCCTGTTAAATAATTCAAAACACTTTAACCTAATACGCATTTAAATATATCCATTTCATCTGTGTGTTTTTTGTACTTACCGCCTTGTACCAGATGACTTTGGTATTGGGGAATGGCTCATAGTGCACGCTCAGTTGGACGTGGCCCCCAATGAGTGCGGTGCAATCCTCCGGGCCCTTCAATATGCAGCTGCTGGCAGCCAGCGGGAGATTGTGTTGCTCCTTGTTAGTATTATTATTATTAATAATATTATTGCTGTTGTTGTTGTTGACGGGTAGTACTAGAAGGCTGGTATAGCTGCGTACCGAGGGCGCACGTCGTTCCGCCTGTGGGTGTTTCACTTGCAGTCGCAATTCCCCGCTCTGGTTCAGCTGCACGTTTCGCAGGCGCAGCAAGCGAATGCCGTTCTCTGGATATGACTCCAACTGAAATGAAGATAAAGCGATTTTAGCAACAACAATTATGTATGTGTGTGCGAGTGTGTGAAAACAGCTGGCACATGGAAGAGCAAATACTTGAGTATGCGGCTCAATGACAATGGCGAGGCAATGAAATATGCACCTAGTTAAGTAAGCTATTTACACAGATACACAAACACATATACATTGTATATGCATATCCAAATATACATATGTATATACATGTATTTATATTTACATATGTGCATGTATTGGAGCAATTGAATACACAGGCGCAACGCGAGGCGCCAACGGCCAGTGTCAAACGGCGAATGACGAGCCACCAATTAATGATTGAGAACATTTTTAAAATAATAATGAAAGCGAATCGAGCTTAACCGACTGCCTCATACCCGACACTGGCCAGGAGTTGAACACAATATTTATAGCTGAAATTATGAGTGTTTCAGGTTAACTTAAAGCTTTCACCAATCATCCCAGCGCACTTTCCACCAAACCCAATATACCCCCTTCACATTCTGAGCGAGTATAGCAATATGTAAAAGCCGAGCACGTTTTCGGTTTCGGTTTTTAGTTTCGCAAAATAATGTCACATTCCCGCTACAAACACAACACAAGCTAACGCTCTCGATTTCGTTATCAGAGCAGACGCCTTAAAGCTCAACAATTACTTAGATATGTGCACTATCTTTGCTTGTTGCGCGCTATCGATATTGCATTACCTGCGACATCTTGTCACGCCCCTTTCTGAAGCAAGGGGGCTACACGTATGTACATATGTATGTATATTGCAATTGTTAAAGGCGTGCAACTGTTTGCTGCTTTTGTGTGCACCGCTTGAAAGCCATTGAACGAGTGCCTGGCCGGCTGTCCGCGCTGCTCTGTTTGCTCTTCTCCGATCGAGCATCGCATCCGATTGGATTGCCGACGCTAAAGTCGACTGCGACTGCGACGCGTCGCGTCGTTGACATCGTTTGCATGCGTTGCGCATACCGCGGCATTTTAATCTTTTCTTTTTTGGAGTCTCATTTCTCTGCCTATGTGTTTGTGTATGTGTGTGTGTGTGTGTATAAATGACAGCGTATTGTTATTGTCAGCGCTGACAAGGTGTCAACGCAGCGCTTTTTGTCTTTATTTCTTGACGAAATCGCCTGCCCAGCGGCAAGGCTGTAGACCCTCAACTGCTGGAGAGCTGAAAGCCCGACTTGCCGCGTCTCTAAATAATTTTTGGGCCAAAAAGGCGCGCACATAAATTGCCTCATTGGCTGCCCTTCAACCCAATTGGCATTTAAAATATATAGACTGATTTGTTAAGAAATATGAAAAATAATAGATAGAAGAAAACTTGTATTAAAACAAAAAGAAAATAAAAACAATTTACTCTTCCTTATACTCTTCTTGATACCCTGAACCCATTAAAATTGTAATCTTGACCATTCAGACAACTCAAACCGAAAAGCCTAAAGCGCATATTAGGTATGCATTTCTCTCTAGGGTATGTTCGAAGAATCTTAAGTGGAATTATGCAAATGAGTGAAAAGTGACTATTAATAATTATAGTTGTATAGACTACAGCCTAGGAGAGCATACAAAAGTCGGTCGGCTGTCAATATGTATGTTAATAAGTTCGTTTTTGGGCTCATAATTGCTTGGTTGTGTCTTACGCACCATTTGGTTTGGTGAGTCATCCGTAATCAGTTTTCCGTTGAGATACCATTCGACATCCGCTTGGCAGGGGAAAACACGCGCATAGAAGAGAGCTTCGGCACCTGGAGCACAGACCAATGGCAGCGGCGTCTTTAGCAGCTGTACGCTCTCTTCGGTCCGTGTGAGATCGCGCTCGAGCACGCACAGCTCGCCGCTGCTGCTGCAGTCGCAGTCGCCGTCGACGTCGCTGCTGCTGTTGCTGTCATCTGTTGTGGACGTGTACACCTGACAGCTGTAGATGCCCGAGTCAATGTCGAAGGCATCGTTGATGCGCAAGCAGAGGCAACCATTGCCGTGATCGATGTAGCTGTGGTGTAATACTTTTTGTTAATTATGCATTATTTTTTAAAATTTTTAAATATATATTTTGAAGCGAGTTCTATATCACAAAGAGAAGTAAATAAATACAGGGTAGCTTCTACTCCAGACAAGATCTGCGCATAACTACAGAGTACTCAATACTTACTTGAATTCCTCGCTGTCGGGCAGTATTTCTCCATTACGCAACCAGACATAGCTGTAGGGTTCGTCGCTTTCAATGACACAGCAGAGATCAATCACCTCGCCCTCGACGGATTTAGTTAGCTCTGGCAATGGCTCGGCGATGGTTGCGCGTCGACGCTGTATATCAGTACTAGAGCCATGGAACTTGACATCAATGGAGCTAACTAAAGGTTCATGATCGCCACTTATGATGCAGGTGTAGATGCCTTCATCCTCCACAGTTACGTTGTCCACGAATAGCATAGCTTCGTCCTCCTGCAGCACAATGTGCACCCGGTCCGATGGTTCCAGCTCCACATTGTTGTGATAGAATCTTACTGAGGGCACAGACGAGCCACGAAAGCCACTTGCCAATGCCATGCGGCCGCCAATAGCTGGAGAAAAGAATGTTGATTAAACAAAGGTTTCGGATCTGACGGGATTTGCTCACCTGTAGAGGGGCCCATGATGCGCCTATAGAGATAGGCATTTCGTCTCGAGGAGGAGGCGCGGACGCTACGTGTCGATGGAGATTTGGAGTAGCGTGAACTGCTAATTACGTCCAGGCGAGCAGTGGCTTCTATGCGTCCAAAGTCATTCTCCAGCGTTATCCGATACAGACCAGCATCGTCGAATCCCACCTCATCGATCTCTATGAAGCGCAGATCATCGACTTCCTTCACTGCAATTCGAGGGGTGGGCGTGACTATCAGGCCATCCTTGTCCCAGGTGGCCCACGGAGTGGGATGTCCTGCAATTGCACACTGGAAGCGCACGCTGTCGCCCTCCTCCACGACACGGTTGTAGGGAATGGCTAGGAATTTGGGCGCTGATATGCAGCGGGCATCACTGCGACGACGCTCCACTGATCCCCTTTGCAGATCGATACTGCTGTTGCGGTAGGAAAGCCTCATCGGCGAAAAGCTTCGGTTCGGAGTCGAACGAGGTGTGGAACGCGGTGTGGAGTGAGCTGAGAGTAAGGCACTTGGTCGTGTTAATTGGCGGCTGAGCATATTCTCCTTCTCTTCGGGCACATCAACAATTATGCAGGCTGACGAGAGCGAGCGGCCAACCGAGTTCTTGGCCACACAAGTGTATTCACCTTCGTCCTCGGGATACACGCGTGGAATACTCAGCGTAGCCTTGACACCGTCAAACGACATCACGTAATCCCTGTCACTGGGCACGACATGGCCATCCTTTTCCCATATTATGAATGGCTCCGGCATGGCTTCCACATGACACTCCAACGAGATGGCATCTCCATCACAGCAGCGCAAATTCCGCAAATTGCGTACGAATCGCGGCAATGTCTCAATATTACTAAAATATGTATTCAAATATATAACTAAAAGTCTTAAACTGAAGGTTTACACTTACCCATGGCGTGTGTGAACTTTATCCATGCGATTATCTTTAAGTATATCTGCGAAATACAAATTAAAAATCGGTTTGGCGCACTTCTTAATGTATCTTTGCGCAACAGTTGAGCGTTGCTGAACGAGGTGAGCTAGCGCTAATTTATGGCACTAACCATGGTTAGTGTTTATGGTAAAGCGTCTGTTTTGCATAGCATACCCGCATTCAAAATATGCATACATACACACAACATTTAATATCAAAGCTAATATTTATATAAAAGAGCTATATATACACTTGAGAAACATTAGGAATTCTTTTCACTATTTAAATGTATTGATACGAAACAGCTGAGCAGCACTGAGTGTGTTGAGTTGGTGCTAATTTATAGTTATATGCTCCATCCCTGGCTGCCGCTATTTATAGCAACTCTTCAGAGCAGCCAGAGCAGCTGTGTTTGTGTCGGCTAATTTAGGTGTATGTGCTTAAAGTGTAAATTTATGAAATAAGTACAAATGCGTGGCCTAATCATTGTGCCCATGGATCTGGAACCTGGTTTCCGCAAAGCAGATATACACAGCATGCCCACTATTAGCAGTGGAATGGTCTTTAACTTTTTTTCAACAGCTACAGACAACGAAATGTGAGTACCGTTTACAGACATACATACATAAATATGTATATTTTTGTGAACACACACGCACGCATACATACAGCTATTTATTTATATGGCTAATAGTTAAATTTTCATTTTAGACCTGCAGAAAGCAATGATTTATTGGTAGACTATGTTCACTTGCGTCGGCAGCCCGAGATATGTGAAATAAAAGCTTTGGTTTTCTCTGCCACAGACTTCGCCAATACGGAAACACATGCCAATGTGGCCGTTAAGGTGATGGAAGATTCAAATACAATAACAGAGGGGCAGTGCAGCTTGTGCGCAGGAGTTGGTAAGCAGTTTTAAATAAAATGAATGTATAATTAGTAATTTCATATTATTTTAGCTGTGTGCCCACATATTGTGGCATTTGTCTTTTGGCTGCACAACAAGAGCACTGATAAAAAGCCGGCAGCTGTAGTGGAATTCTGGGGCAATGAGCTGGAGGCTCTTGTTCAACCGGAGCCCACAAAGGCAGTGCGCATAAAGGACATGGTGTCCAGCCAAGATCTGAACTCTGCAACTGAGGAGGATATCCCCTGCTCTAGTGAGGGCGAGGAACAAGCATTTCTGGAATCTGTGCTCGAAGAGCTCGCTATCTGCGGACGTGATTCAGCGTTGTATCGCCAGTGCGTGGAAACAACAGATGAATTCGAGTCAATACTCATACATCACATATTGTTAAAAGCAACAGAGTACAACATTTACGATGTGAATAGTTTTGTACAGCATCTGGAGCTACAAGCGCAAGGTGGACTCTTCGAGAGCCTAAGCGAGGTGACCAAGAGACAGTACAAATCAAAACTTTGGATAGAGGCGCAATATATGCGTATTCGCTGCTCCATGATGCACATGATTGCCACACGCAAAACCCCAGAGGAGGACGAACAGATCTTCAATATGCTGTTCTGCAAGGGACGCGACGAGGACATCGAAGATCGTGTCCAGCAGAAGCAACATAAACGATTCATATTGAAACAAACCGAAAAGTTGGAAAACAAAGAATATCTGGAATGCGGTTTGCTGCTACACGAAAACTATCCTTATTTGTGTGGTGCACCCGATGGCATTACGGATGATCATATTGTTGAAATCAAATCACCAAAGACTGAGGAGGACTTTGAAAAGTATCTGGAGGCCCGCGAATCCATTGCACCCAAATACATGGCGCAGATACAAACGCAAATGTTTCTGGCCAATGTGAAGAAGGCGCTGTATTGTGTGCTTAGTCCCACATTCGAAACGAACGGAGCTCTGCACTACGTTTGGGTACAGGCCGATCCCGAGTTTGTGGCCAGCTTGTTGGTGATGGCCGACGAATTTTGGAAGGAAGTTGTCTACCCACATCTCATCAGCATTTATCCACAAGCATTATAAGCAAGAGCAACAAATATAAAGCCACAACTAGCTAGCTAGAGTGAATAGCTTCTAAAGGAATTAATCGACTCACCTTTGGCGTAGATTTGCAATGATATTACAGCCTTGGCCTCGCCATGGCAATTGCTGGCTATAACTGAATAAGTGCCGGTAAAGTCCAATTTGGCGCTGGGTATCTCCAAACGATACTCCGGCCCCTCGCCGATGCGTCGAAAGTGTGGCGCGTCCTTGTAGTACTCCGGCTGCAATTAAAGAGATAATAAATGATATTTTTATTAATTGACACTTTGGAATGCAATAAACTGCAGCCATAAGGATCGTCACAGATCTTAGAATGAATGAGTCATATGAGTCTTATATGTCTGTTCTTTATTCATGATATATGCATTGTTGTTGTTGTTGCCGTATTGTGTTGCTGTTGTTGTTGTGCACAGCATATGGCCATATAAGCACAAAATTTATTTTCGCGACTGTCAATAGGAAAACTGGTAACTGGAACTCGTACGAGTGTGCCACTGTGTGTGTGTGTGTGTGTGTGTGCGTGTGTGTATTTGTGTTTTGTAAGTTGGGTTGCCCACCCTGACCTCCTGCTTCCTTGGTACGAACAGCGGCACGATTGTTGGCTAATAATTTTTTGTTGCTGCTCGTTTTCGTTGCTGTTTGCTGTTGCTTTTGCCTTTTTGGCTCTGGCTAACAGACGTAATTGTTTGTACAATCATGTTATTTGATATGGGTTGAACTTGAATTAGCGTTTGACAGCAGATCAGCTTTATAAGAACTAAACTGCCCATGTCTATATATCTACATATGTATGCATGTATGTGTGTCTGCTTGTGTGTGCGTGTGTTAATTGTATAACGAGTGCAATTGACTGCGCTACGTGTGACGCAGGTGAGAGGTAATACGAGTAAGCAAACAGCCGTTGCTGTTGCAGCTCAAAAACTGCATTGTTCTGGCCCCTTTGGGAAAGGGGCACTACAATATTGTCACGCATTTGAAGTATGGGCACTAATATATGGGCACTAATATACTCTTGATAAGAATTCGTTTGCGTATAGGGGAATATATATTTATGTATATATTTATACAAAATTATTAATACAAAGTATAGTTATTTTTTAACTATTCTGAGTTCAATTTAAAATGAACTTCGTGCGGGTTTGCTATAGAATGATTAACAAATGCAATTATTTGTAGTTGAATATCTACAGTTATATAGCCCCACCTATGATTAAATCGTCACTACAAATTATTCAGTGCTTCGATGCAAACTAAGGTATTTTCATTCAACTGCTTCCAAGTGAGGTTTAATTAGGTAATTCCATAGATTATCCATGTGTTGTGTTGAATATCAGGGCGTAACACATTTCGCCTAAGGCACTTTGTTTTTAAGTGGATTCTCTAAAAAGCAATTTTACCTTTTGCTAAATTATTTTGATGTTTGCTTCTATAACACTTTGTTCGTTTGCTTCGGATCAATTGTTAATTTATAATATAAATTCTTTGAAAAACTATATTATTTTCTTCGAAATCTATCCGCACGAACAACTGTTGCAATTCGGCATTTCGCTTGCACTGTAACTGTTTTCGAATAGTTAACAATTTATATATATTTATGTAAATTGTGCGGAAATCAAGATGGAAATGATATTTCCTGATTGCGAGTAGGGCCCACAGAACTGGCTAAAACGGACAGTTTGGTCAGTTCTATTCGGCGTTGGCGCACTTGCACTTGAATATTTTATGATATTGAGAGATACGAACGCGCCGACTGCGACCCACATTTGTTGGCGCCGCGTTTGCAACTGACTCGAGCAACGTGGCGCTGCGCAAGCGCTTGGAACCTGCCGCTGCTGACGTCACTGCTTGACCAAATGTGCTACACATTTATATATACATATATCTAGTATAAATCAACTCACATTCAGAAAATCACGCAGCCAGACAACGTCGGGCTTGGGATCGCCGACCACTTCGCAAAAGATGATGACGTTGTCGCCCTCGTATGCTTCGCTCGAACGGGGCTTGACAACAAATAGCGGCTCCTTGGAGTAACTGCAGCAGGAATTTAGAAGGTAAATCGAAGGCGTTTATACAGTTTTCTCGCTAGGATACTCACGGCATGTCGCTTGTCTTGATGCTGGGTATGTCGAGTGCGCGTTGCGTGGTTGCAGCTGCTTCGTTCTCCTCGATGGCCACACGGCATATGGTCTCCACCTTGCCAACCGCATTGGAGGCGACACAAACGTAGATGCCAGCATCTCGTGGCGTTGCCTCGGCAATGATTAGTTCCACATAGCCCGTGGAGTCGAGGGTGGCGGATATGCGACGACTCGGACGCAGACGCATGCCGTTGCGATGCCAGGTGACACCCACAGCGGGATAGGCCTCCACTTTGGTGGACAGGCGGATTTCGCTGCCCTCACGGAACACATAGAATGGGTCCAGGGGCACGTAAAAGTCGGGCGAGATGTAGGCGCGTATGCCCTTGTCCACCACCAGGCAGCAGTGGCAGGACACAGAGCCCAGTTCATTCTTGGCCGTGCAGGTGTAATTGCCGCTGTCTTCCAGCAATGTGGCTGCTATTTCCAGCGTATAGAATTGTCCCTCGGCCGTGATAAGATGCCGTCTATCACTGGCGATGAGCTGCCCATCCTTGTACCAGAGTATCTCCGGTGCGGGATAGCCAACAATTTGGCAGGTCAGACGCACCGGGTAGGTCATCTGCACGCGACGATCGCGCAGACGCATTGTGAAAATGGGCAACGATTCGCCCAGTTCAGCCGGATGGCGTCCGTGTGCGATTTCCTTCAGTCTCGAGTCTGCCTCGTATAGCCGTGGATCAGAGACAACTTGCAGGCGTGCAAACGTAGAGACGCGCCCCTTGGAATTGGTTGCCTCGCAGGTGTAGCGCCCAGAGTCGAGCTCACAAACCGTAGTTATGGTGAGAGCACAGGTGGAGCCGATCTGGCGGATCTTGACACGATCGGAATTGCTGCTCAGCTGTATGCCATCCTTGTACCAGGTAATCTGTGGACGCGGCGCTCCACGCATATTGCACTGCAGCGTAAAGGAGGAGCCGAGCAACGCCTTCACCTGCCCAGGCAGAATCTTGACAAACTCCGGCAGGCACTCCACGCCGCCCACCTGTAGAGGGGAGCTGGTCTGCACCGCCGGTCCCCAGCCATAGCGATTTTTGGGCGTCACGCGGAAATGGTATTCCACATTTGGCTTCAGATTGAATGCATCAAAGGAATTAATGGGCGTCAGTCCCAATTCGCGCCAGTAGGCGCCTCCGTCATGACCAACAATCCATGCTTCCACCTTGTAGGCAATGACCGGCGCTGAGTTGGCGCTGACGGGCTTGCCCCACGACAACGAGATGTGGGTGGGTCCAGAGTCAACGACCAGCGGCTCCGTGGATATACAGCCAGGTGGATCTGTGTGAAGTGTGAAGATGCAAATAAATTGCATCAATTAAATAGATCATTGGCCATGGTAAATCAAACACAATACGCCCCGGAGAAATATATATTTTATTTTCTTGTTTTTTTTTTCTTTTTTTTTCGACTACGTAAATGTATAAGCTGGATTGTTGTGCTTTATATAATACGCTATTTGTATACCATAATAAAAAAATAAGTAAATAAGTGAATCGTTCAAAAATACTAACAAAAGATAAGTTAAATACACGGATAATTTCTTTGTGTGTTGGACAATCATTGAATCTCACAGGAAATTGCTTTTGAGAAGTTTCTTGATTAACGGCACAGAAGGCAAACAAGCTGGAGTTGAGGCGATCTGCAAAATATATTGGCAAAATCCATGCGCTATTGAATACTTGAGATAAAACTTTAAATGAAACACGTAATTTAGCATGGTAAAACAAGGAATTCGAATGGGACATTAAATAGAGAATAACATATAGAGTGCCACAGAATTTGAGGACTACGATTTAAAAACGAGTAAAGTGGAACGACAACAATAATGTGAAACAAATATTTGGGACTTGACACTTGAAGAAACATCGAAATGGAGCACACAGACACAAGACTCTCTCACACTAAGAGAACAAAGAGCGGAATGGAACACCTCAAGGAGTACTCACCTCTGAAATACGAAGTTTCACTATAACTGTCCAGGGGTTGGCCCCAGCGTGGTTGCGTTGGGGTTTCAGAGCGAGCGCGCGGGTTAACCTATATAAGTTTTGATTTTTGTAGTCAGAACGATATTATTGTTTATTTGAATGAACACATAGAGTCGGGAAAGCAGACTTAGAGCATAAATAATTTTGATGCATTTAGAGGGAGGCGTTTAAATTTGCGCAAAGAGCATATATGTATATAAATATAAGTAATTGAAATAAGCTTTATTCTTTCTTTTTGGGCGTTTTAATCTAGAAAAGTATAAAGAAATAGAGAAAGAGAGAGAGAGAGAGAATAGCATTGGTTAGTTAGCAAAAGCATTAGATCAATAGCAAGACATTCAGGTACAGCGACAGCAGATACAAGCACATAACACAAACAGATGCTCATAGGCAGTACGTACTGTAATTGTGACGAATATTCTATCCGTGCCAAAGTCGTTGCGTGCAACAACGAAATAGGTGCCGGAGTCGGAAATCTGCGACTTTTGCACTGTGAATCTGGTGTAGTCGTCGGATACCTCTTTGCTGACCCGATCCGATTGGGTAATATCCTTGGTGCCCTTCATGAACACCACTGCGAATACCAAACGAAATGAGCGGCTGAAGAGGATATGCATGTGAGAAAAACTTACGTTTCGGTTTCGGATCACCCGCAATACGGAAGGAAATCGAGAACGGATCACCAACGGCAATCTTCATTTCAGTTTCTGGCCTGGACAGGAAGAGGGGTGGGCGTTCGTTCTTCTCAGCGCCAACAGCGACATCAATGTTGACATGCGACTCAATGCGTCCAAAGGCGTTCGAGGCGAGGCAAGTATAGGTGCCTTCGTGCTCAGCCGAAGCATTCATGATGGCCAGCGTGTAGATGCCACGATCGTTCAAAGTTCGAACATTTGGACCCTCGACAACCTTGCGATCGCGATACCATTTCACTTCGATGGGTGTGCTCGACTGCATGAACTCGGCCGAGATGGCGACGGTGCCGCCATTGCACACGGTCTGATTGCCCAGCGGGGCAAGGAAGTGCGGCTTGTTGGGATCACGGTGGAAGAAACCGTGCGTCTTCTCCAGCGTGAAACGCTCGCGTCCCACAAAGTCCACCTGATGGGTCATCTTGTTCTGGGCGCCCTCGTTGGTTGCTATGCAGGAGTAGATGCCAGAGTCCTTTTCAACGGGATTGCGTATGATCAGCTTGGAGTAACCATCGGCCTGATCAATTTGTTGATATTTATCATCGTTATTAATAATCTCGTTGCCCTTCATCCACTGGATCTCTGGACGAGGCTGGCCACGCACACGACAATCCAGAACCAACTCATTCTCATTGAGAGAATACGTGTCTGTGGGAAAAATATAGATAAAATAGAGTGATTAATAAATACAATTCCCGAACAGAATTTGACAAACGAAAGCGGTTAGAACAGCAAATATAACTGTATGCAGGCGTGTGTTTAGATTAGGCAGCTTCGCGTGTCGCTCGTCCTTAGCTCTGTGGAATACCTCGAATTGGCTGTGCGAATGTACTTGGCATAGATGCCTCTCTGAAATGCTTGTAGACGCGCAGCTGTGCATGGGTTAGACTCTCGCCGAAATCGTTGATGGCCGAGCAGGTGTAATTGCCGCTGTCATCGGCCACCGCGGCAAAGATCTCCAGTGATGCCTCGCCATTCTGGTAAACCGTCTGATAGCGCGTGTCCCTGGGCAACGGCTTGTGGTTCTTCAGCCACTCGATGTGCGTGTTCTCATCGCCAGAAACGGTGCACACGAATCGCACATTGGCACCCTCCGATATGGTGCGATCATGCAAGTAGCTATGGAACGATGGCTTCGTCTGAGCGACACTGCGAATGACGCGGCTTCCAGCTCGGTGCAAGTCACCGTTGCCATTCATATAGGCCGTGGGCCGTGCGTACTCATCCGTCTGCGAGTGGGACTGTGGCTGAGCGAGCACAACATTCTCATGCTCGTATGTAATGAGACGCTTCAAGTCTGCTGCCCGTATGACAGTGCTGATGGAGTCAATGTGATCCGCATGCTCGGCATAGCAGGCAAAGATGCCACAGTCCGAGGGTATGGGATTGCGTATGATCAGCTTGCGTTCACCGCCCGGCTCGTCCATAATCTTGTAGCGATTGTTACAGATCGTGTGATCATCGCGCATCCAGGTAACATTGGGCCGTCCATGCACCTGGCAGCTGAGCACAATCTCATTGCGCTGTGCATCATACGATTCTGGAAGAGAATCATAATGGTGTTAGTAATGTGACATTTCAAAACAACATCTTATTGAACTCACTCTTAATGCCCTCCACAAAGCTCTCCGGCAGTCGCCCACTCGTCTCGTCCAGCACAGTGAGCTGGCCAGAGGTCTCCACTGTCTGCTTGCTGTTCCTGACCACGCATCTGTAGTGTCCGCTGTCCTCGGCACGGGCATCGTAGATTTCCAGGCTGATGGCGCCGTTGATATTGTAGATCTTGTGGCGTGCGTCCTTAGTAATGCGCTCGCCGTCCCTCAGCCAGTGCACTTCCTCGATGATGCCGGTCACATAGCAAATGAGCTGAGCCTTGTTGCCGCTGCTAATGGTCATTGTCTTGAGGCTGGTCTCCAGATTGAGACGCAGCTTGGCCTCCCTCGCCTTGGCCTTGGCCACAGCTGCTGCATTCTCGCCCGCTGCGCCCTGAGTGGACTCTGTTTGCTTAGCAGTCTGTGGCAGTTGCTCTGCTGTGGCTTTTTTATCGAGTGCTCGCTGTCTCACATAGTCGGAGGCTTGAACGAATTTGCTGATCTTCATCTGGCCATTTTCGCTCTCTGCATAGCAGGTGTACAATCCGGTATCCTCGCTGCCAAAGGATGTGATGGTCAACTGTTTGACGCTGTCGCTCAGCTCAGCATATTGATACTTGGCCGTATCCTGGGGCAGCAGTGTATTATCTCGCTGCCAGTAAATGCTTGGCTTGGGACTGCCCGACACTTTGCACTCGAGCGTAAGCCGATTGTCTTGGGAATGATATGCATCTAGACGTGGTACACAAAAAGACAAGGCACAAACGGAATAAGACAAGCACGACATACAGGGGATGGGATGGGTCTCTAATTCTAGCATTAAGATATACATATATTACTATTCATAATACTACACTATCGTAACATAGCTTAACACTCACTTGGACGCACTGGATGCCACATGAACATACACATAGTTACCCAATGCTACGCTGTTGCCTACCTTTGATGCCCACTGTGAAAGTGGGTGGGATGATTTCAACTTTACCCGTGCTGTAAACGAATAGATTGCAAGTGCTAACAATTTCATTTTCGGGGCCGCGAACGCGTAGCGTATATTCGCCAGCATCCTCTTCTGTAACGCCCACCAGATTGAGCCAGGCAATGCCGTCCTGCATGGACATTTTGCTCTTGGGTCCGAAGGCAATCGGCTGATCGCCATGGAACCATTTAGCCGTCGGCTCCGGCCCATCGATATTGACCATCCATTTGACATTGCTGCCGGACTTGACGGTGCGATTGGCTAGGAAGTTGCGGAAATAGAGACGCTTCTTTAGATCTGGAGGCATGGGAACTTCGCGCCTGGAGCTCGTGGCCTCCTCATCCTCGTTCTTGGGCTTTCGGACTCTCTTCTCAGTGGCTTCACCCTCAGCCACTTCACCCTCAGCAGCTGGCTCTCCATCCTCGCCAGCTGGCTTGGGTGGCGGCCGTCCCTCTCTGGGCGGCGACACGGGGCGTACCCGAATGCGCGGCTCCACAGTGACCATATGCACAATTTCCGTTTGACCCTCACGGTTCTCGGCCTGGCACACGTATTTGCCACTGTCGGCCGGCTTTGGATGGCTAATGAACAGTTCGCATGTGCCGTCATCATGGTCCACCTGGTGGTACTTTTCATTGTTCTCAATCTTCACTCCATCCTTGTACCATGTCACAGATGGCGTTGGCAGGCCGCGTACATGCACATCCAGCTGGAGCTCGTTGATCTTGCCGTGCAGCGTGTCCTTGATGTTGCGCGTAAAGGTGGGTGGCACGTCACCAGTGCCTGGATCTGCATACACCTCTAGCCTGCAGGAGGTGGACGCCTCACCAGTTTCATCTCGTCCCCAACACCTGTACTCGCCATTGTCCTCCTCGGTAGCGCTGTTAATCTCCAAGAGGCAGAGACCCTCGCTGTACCGTCCTCGAATTTTGGGCGAGTTCTGAATGGGCTCATCATTCTTGAACCATTTCACCTGGGGCTCCTTGGCTTCCAGGAAGCACGAGATCTTCACCTTGGAGCCTTCAGCCACAACGCGATCCCTCATAGAGGTGGTAAAATGAATGCCAATATTCTTCTCGCGTCGCTTACTGGACATGCTGGCCGTATCGGAAGCATAATCCGTGGCTGATGACACACCCTCTTCCTCGGGATCATCCTTCTTGCGGCCACGACGTTTGCCCTTGCCCTCCTCACCTTCAGCTTCTGATTCAGCGGCCGCTGGAGCAGCAGGCTTCACAGCTGGCTTCTCCGCCTCCTTGGGTCGCAACAAGCTCTTGTCCGCATGGAACACGCCGTGGATATTGTCCGCTATGTGGGATGCCTTGCCCTCAAAGAGCACATAATGGGAAATTTCCATTTTTCCAGCGCGACTCTCCGCCTTCACCACATACTTGCCGGAGTCCTTGTTATCCGGCCGATCAATGATTAGCTCACATGTGCCATCCTGATGTTCAATTATCTGGTAACGACCGCCACTTTGAACCTCAACGCTGTCCTTAAACCACTGCACTTGGGGCGTAGGCTGACCCCGCACAGCTGTCTCCAGTATGAGTTCATTCGAGTTCAGGTGATAGGTCTCTGGAGGAGGTGGAGATAGAGGAAGTTGAACAATTTCAATAGTCCAACAGTTACATAAACTCGCAACACAAAGACCCAACAACAACAACAACACACACATAGCAGTGCAACGCCAGAGGCATTGCATAATCCCGACAAACAATCGCATTGCATTGCACAATTGTCAATATCTTTGATCCGTCTATTAATAGAACCAATTAGATATCTATTCAGTCGAACGAGACGCGACGAGACGAGACAAATTCGATGCGTTTGGCTCTTACCTTTCAGCGAGCGTATGAACACGGGCTGCACATCGGTGTTGACCTTCGGCTGATAGACATGCAGCACGGCCGATGTGGTGATCTTGCAGAACTCATTTTGGGCTATTATCGTATAGGTGCCAGAGTCCTCCTCCTGTGCGTTTAGGAACTCCAGCACAGCCAAGCTGTCGCGATTCATGTTGCGTATACGCGGTCCATATTGCACGTTTTGGTCATCCTTCTGCCATTTGATGGTGGGCTCGGGTCCGCCAATAACCGCTTGCAATTTAACCTTAGAGCCTTCAGCCACATAGCGATTGGATAGATTGACCGTGAAATAGAGCATTTGCTTGGGTGATGGGTCGGGCATGCGGCTGCGGCGCTCATAGCCGCCTTCGCCGCCCTCGGGCTCGTCTTTCTTGGGCAGCTTCTTCGGTTTGGGTTTGGTAGCACCCTCGGCTGAGTCCTCTTGCATGGCCGATAAGATGCTAGAGCGGCGTGACGAATGTGTGTCGACAACGACCGTGTGGGTGGTCGACTGACTGCCCAATTTATTCTGGGCGGTGCAGACGTAGATGCCGTTGTCATTCACAGTTGGCTTGTTAACGATCAGCTCGCAGACGCCATCCAAGTGCTCGATTTGTACGACACGATCGTCGAGAACAACGGGTATCTGATCTTTCGTCCACGAAATAACGGGACGAGGATTGCCTCGAACTTTCGTATCGAGAATCAAATCATTCTGGGAGGAGTGATACACATCTAAGAAGAAGATCAAACATTTCAATCAACTGTCTGAGCAACACAAACTATTTTTACACACAGTCGACCTCAATCGAGAACTGTGATCGTTGGAAAACAATTAGCTTTGAATTTTGGCTAATGCTCGTGTTGGCGTTGTAACAAAAAAATGAAGAAGACAACACGAAACGCAACGGATGCAGATGTAGATGTAGAAACACATACGATTCGTATATGCAGATGCAGTTGCCGAAACAGATATACACAGATTACACTCTCTGTAACGTAAAAATACCTCGCAGGGGCAGGGCGAATATGGGTTCGGATTCGTCGCCATCAGCTTGCGCGGCATACACCTTGAAGTAGCATGAGGTCTCGATTTCGCTTTGATCATTTTTGGCCACACATTTGTAGACGCCCGAATCGGCCGCAGTGACATTGTTGATCTGTATAATGGCTTTGCCCTCCTCGGATAGATTCTTAATGTTTTCGCTCATCACGAGCCACTTGTCATCCTTCATCCAGCGTGTATTTGGATCTGGTCCAATCACCGTTGCCGCAAACTTCACAGTTGTGCCCTCCAGTGCCATGCGATCGCGCAGCTGCGTGGCGAATTGCAACTTTTGCTTGGCCGGGATGAGTGGCTCGGGTGGTGCACGTGCCGCCTGCACGCGCTGTTGCTCGGCCTCGATTTCGGCACGTTTCTGATCCGATTCGGCCTTGGACTTGAGTGCAGCATCCATGGCCACCTTGGCCTGCTTCAAGCTGTCCAATTGGATTCGATCGCGGGCATGGAAAATGCCGGGCACATGATAGTGCAGATTCTTGGCCACCTCAACGAGCTGATTGATTTGAGCCTCGCCAATCGAATTGATGGCTTTCAGGGTGTAGGTGCCGCTATCCTTATTGCCCGGCTTATAGATGAGTAGCTTGCACACGCCATGCGCTTCCTCGAGCATGGTGAACTTGTAGCTGGGTTTCACCTGGAAGGCGCCACGCCACCAGGTGACAACTGGGCGCGGTACGCCGTGCACGTGACCCTCAATGGTCAGCTCATCGTCGCGCAAGTGGTAGTACTCTATAGAATATAGACATATAAACCCCATGAGTTATACATATAGAATGCAGCCAGGACGAGCAACAAGTACCTTTGATATATTGAATGGAGGGAGGTTTGGGTTCGTCCTTAAACACTTCGTAAATGGTCACAATACACGATGAGGTAACCTCGTCATTTTGATTCATTATTTGGCAAGAGTACTCGCCAGAGTCCAGTATAGTGGTATTACAGACTTCCAGCACTAAAATGTTGTTATTATTGATGATGCGATGATTCGCATCACGCTCCAGCTGCCTTCCATCCTTGAACCATTTGACAGAGAGCTCGGGTCCATCGACAGCGCAGGCCATGCGCACGCTCTGGCCCGCCTCGACGGTGCGATCGGAGAGGAAGTTAATGAACTTGGGCAGGCGTGCCTGTTCGCGTCGGCGTTGCCAATCGGCGTCGCGCTCCTTTTCGCTGACGCGCTTGGCAATGCTGTATTTGCGCATCTGCTGCATGAACTCTTCGCCCTCCGTGGCGGCGATGCGCTGCCAGCGCTCCTCTTCGTGCGGATCGGGCCGCACAAAGTCATCGGAGGAGTCACTGCCTCGACGTTTCTCCTTTTTCAAATCAGGAACCGTATCGTCTTCATTCTCCTCGTCCTGTTCCTGTTCCTGTTCTTGCTCATCCGGATACTCTTCTTCATTGTATTCGCCATCGGCCGCTACGGTACTCTCGTCGCCCTCTTCTGGAATATCTTCCTCATCTCCTTCAAGTTCCGCTTCAGCTTCGGCCTCCGCCTCCTCTAACGCCCTCTGCTCGGCTTCGATGCGCTCCTGCTCCTCCTTTTCTTCCTTCAAACGCTTTTGACGTTCCTCAAATGTCTCGCCCTTGGGCTTGGCACGGTTAGCCGCTTCCTCGGCTGCCTTGGCTGCTGCCTTGGCCTGTTCCTCCATTTGCAGCACCATCTTGCTCTTTTTCGGAGGTGGCTTGGGGCCAGCCGCGGCTGGCTGATCGAACATCTTCTTTGTAGCCTTCTGGCCACCGCCCATCTCCAGTTTCAAGGTCAATTTTGGACTGGGGGATTTCTCCTTTTTCTCCTTCTTCTTTGGTGGAGCCTTCTTTTTGCCCTTCTTAACTGGCTCATCGTCGTCCAAATCGATGCTATCCTCTCTATCTTCACCGAAGTCACCAAAGTCTTCCGCCTCCAATTCACCCGATGGACTCTGCTCCTTATCGATGGACTTACGAGCTGTACGCGGCTTTCTCGGTTTCTTCTCCTTCTTCTTCGGCTTCACCTCTTCGATGATTTCCTCCTCCTCTTCGACCTCTTCGTATTCCTCAACAACGTAGATAACCTCAACATTGGATACATCCATTACGGCAGCACGATCGATAACCGACAAATCGGATGTTATGTAACGCACGGGCTTTTGCACATCCACCGATTCGGAAATATCCATGACCAGAGCGCGATCGAAGACGGCAATGTTGCAGGTGGTTTGGCTCTTGATGTCCCGACCGAGCTCGAATGGAGTTTTCTCCTTCTCTTCGCGTTTCAGGAACGGCGTTATGCTGCGCCATGTTGAGGGCGTGGCACTGCGACGTGTCATATACAAGGTGAATGGCGTTTGGCTCCGGCCATGTATGGGCGTGGCACTGCGTCCGCGTAAGCTGCCTGGAGTTGGCGACTTAAGTTTTCGTTTCTTTTGCGTTGGCACCTGCAGCGTATCTTGTCCTGCTGCCGCCTCCGGTTCAGCGGATGCCCGTGGCTCGATATCGCCGTCCGTTTCACCCATTTTAATAATTTTCGGCTTGTTAGCTTTTCACAGGATAACGGGGGGTAAATGAAAATTCGTTTGGGGAAAAAACCGATAAAAAATATATCCGTACGAGCCGTATATATGTATAAATTAATATAAATATTTATATATACGATATATGTAACCCGCTACGGTTCGATCGAAAGAGTTTTCAATTTTTAGGACGTCAGGCGTCCGTTCGAATCAAAAGAAGATTCACGACTGTCCGCAATGTGGTGAAAAAATTCGAAAAGACATTCCTTCTCGAATCTATCCTAATTGCCAATCGATTTTTAATGCTAAAAAAACAATTTGACGAATTTCGGTATTGCCCGCCACTGCCTAAAAGTACGTATATAAGTATATACATATATATATAAGATATATATATATGTAAACTTATTTATATATTTGCCAGCCAATTGTTGCCAAAGAAAAATCAATTGAAACAAATCTATTTAAATACTATAGAGTTTTAATTATTGCAGGCAGTAAATTCAATTATATAAAAGTCATTCGAATTTCGATAAACTATAAATAGAGAGCTGAATTAAACTTAAATAATAATATAATGAAACCTATAAATGATCTTTAGCTTATCAAGCGCGCAAAGGGAATATCGATGCGTTGTGCCAAACACTTATATACTTAGTCTTAAAATATACATATAGTATATACTACGTATGTATGTATGTATGTACATATCTTATAAAGGTATTTCCTATTTACTTAGATGCTTAATGTCAAATTGTATTGATTCACATTTGTAATGTGACGTTAATTGAATTTTAATTTGGGGCACTAAATCACTGGGTTGCATAGGTAAAAAAGGCACTTACCTCGTATGTTGCGTGTAAATATGGGCGGTGTGCCAAATTTGGTTGAAGGTGCTTCGTATATAGTCACAAGACAGCTTGTTTCCACCTCTCCATTTCGATTAGACGCTATGCAACGATATATGCCAGAATCATTCATCTCGGTTGATTTGATTTCGAGGCAGGATAGACCATCATTCAAGGTTGTTTTGTATTTGGCATCGTTAGTAATGGGACTATTTTGTTTGAACCACTGCACCTTCATATCATGACCGGAAATACCGCATGTCAATTTAAGATCACTACCGGTCGCCGAATTACGATTCGTTAACATTAGATCTATAGTTGGTTTACGCTTAGCGCTACGTGATTCCTTTCTTTCCCGATATTCCGACTCCATTGACTTATATGCTTTGGTTTGTAGACTCATTGAGTCTTCTGATTCAGCGACGTGCGATTTTTTCTTCTCGTCATATCTTCCCTCCGCTATCTCATTTAAGCTCTGTGATATTCTTTCAGCAATGTTCTTTTCTTTTGTAGCTGCATTGTAGTCATCAGACTTCAATTTCTCTGGGCCCTTTTCAGTTTCAGAAAAGTCATCTTCCACCTTCTTTTGAGATTGGTTCTTCTGTTTCGTTTTTTCTCTTTCTTCAACCATTCTCTTTTCAGACTCAGCAATTGACTCTTTCACTTCTCGTTTTCTCTCAGGCTTATTTTCTGCAGACATTTTCTCAGAAACCACTTCAGATGCTTCAGCGTCTTCTTTCTTGTTTTTTTCTTCGGTCTTCTTCTGTTTCATATCTAGTTTCTGCCCTTCGACTAAATCTTTTTCAAGTACCTTTGCCTTCTGAGACTCTGTTTCTGATTCCTTAACTTCAGGTTTCTTAATCTCGGGGACTTTTTCTTCAGAAACTTTCTCAGCAACTACTTCAGATATTTCTCCTTGTTTGGCTTTCTTCTCAGCATCCTTCTCAGCATCCTTTTCAGCCTGCTTCTTCTGTTTTGCATCCAGTTTCTTCTGTTCGACTGATTCTTTTTCAAGTTTCTTTGCCTTTTGAACCTCAGTTTCCGCTTCCTTAACTTCAGGTTTCTTACTTTCGGGGATATTTTCTTCAGTTAGTTTCTCAGCTACAACTTCAGATATTTCTCCCTGTTGCGCTTTCTTCTTAGCATCCTTTTCAGCCTGCTTCTTCTGTTTTGCATCCAGTTTCTGTTGTTCGACTGATTCTTTTTCAAGTTTCTTTGCCTTTTGAACCTCAGTTTCCGCTT